AAACCACAGAAAATGTGACCTGCAACTGCTGGAACCGGAAATTGAGTGGATGTATCCGGTTTTCGTTATTACCAGTTCAAAAGGTATGTTATCACAAGGAAATGTTCCAAATTTTATAATATTTGGTCAAATAGTTCCAAAGTTATTACAAAAAAATCAATTTTCCATACCCACATTCCGAGGGCCGTAAAATTCTTATCAGTAGAGATAGAACACGAGTTATTATTTAAATTAACAACATTTTATAGGTCATTTTTGAGGTTCAAATATTGCTTCATATTTATGAATAACCCTGTATAGGAATCACCTATAATAATTAATATTTTTTAATATTTTTGGATCATAGAAAAAATAAATGGCTATCGTCTAAAAAAATTGCATTTCGTTATCTTCTTTACTGCCCAAGTAATCAAAGAAATACGGAGCTCTGGGACACCTGTATATCTCACCGCGAGATATTACTACCGTCTTTCGTGGACTCGCGAAGAGGTTACCTTCTGGGGAATTGTAGTACCTACAAACCGGACAGATGGAAAAAAATTGTAGAAGCGCTCCGTAATGAATGGTCAAATCGTTGGTCATCATCTTCTTAAAGAAGAATTACGTATATATTCTCGATTAACCTCTCCCTTCTAAGTATCCAAGGCCCATCATCGAGCTCTTTACTGGTCGCGGCGCGTTTGGAGTCCATTTGCTACGTATTGGAAAATCGCAAGACGGAATTTGTCCTGAATGTGGAGTTCTTGACGATCCTCCTCACCGATTAATGGTTGTCCGCTCTTCCAGGATGACCAAGCCGAACTACGTACCATATGGAATAGAATTATGGCCACTCTACCCGATATTGCCGTCACACATCCGGAGCTGCTCGTTCTTTTGGAAAAATCAGAGTCATCTAATATAATGTGAGGTTTTATTTAGCAGATTTTCTTTAATTTTCTAAATGTTGCATTAGGAAAAGAAGATTTCATTTTAGGTTATTAATATAAACTATTTACAAAAGTTAACATCAGACATAGCAAGTGTCAATACTCTTGTAAAAGCTCTCTTGCAAACATTAACAGAAATTAGGACAGATCTTGATAACACGGAATTTAGACAACTTTATTCTAAAGCAGAGACAATTTGCACTGAAAATGATATACAGTTACCACCTTCAACCTAACTTAATTGAATCGAAATGACCATACATGAGAACATGAAAACTATTATTTTGTGCCCAACGAAAATTTTCTTGGCCCATCCAAAGATTCGAAGCTAGTTCCGCCACAATAATTTTTTCTAAACGTCACAAAGTAAGACAAATGTCGATTTTTGTGTTATGCAACCAATAATACGCTATTGATTGAGTAATATTTTTTAGATATTGTTCTCTTAAACTTTGTGTAACTAGTTTTCAAAATTAAAATTATTCACAAACTGTAATAAAACATAAATATTTTTTAAATACGAAAATAAGGGACAACAACAAAAAAACTTGACTACATGCCTCCAAATATCGGAGAGTGAGAAAGATAAATTAAACCGCAGAGAAGAGGTCACAATAAACCGACTCCTAAGTGGACACACTCGACTAACCCACATGTACCTAATGGAAGAAAAGAACCCCCACAGTGTTGCCAAAACAAACTAGACGTCACCCACTTATTCCAGTGCCCAAAAACTGCGCAACACCGCATAGATGCTGGACTAACACACCCACCGTATACAAAAGCAAGACACATAATTAATTATCTTAAGAGTCTTAAATTATTAGATAAATTGTAAAATTAAATTTAAAAACCACTGTATTATGCGCTAATGACCGCTGCAGTCGATGCGCTAAAATTTCAAATAAAAAAAAATAAATATTTTTAAACTGAAGTACACGTATTTTTATTAGGTTAAATATTTAGTGAAAAAAATAATAGTTTACAATGGCTTGACCAAAAGTGCAAGGAAATTTACAAAAGCAAAGACATTATTTATGGGCCAAACCGGTTTAAATTAAATGACAATCAATTTCGGGCTATCGGATTCATATGGGAATATAATTATCCTGAATCTGTCATTGTACTCAAGGAAAGTGACCAGGATAAACTTTAATAAAAAATTACAATGATGGAATGAAACTAATATTGTATTAAGTTTGTTAAATAGGTAAATTTAATTTGTTTTATATGCCTAAATAAATTCTGATAATTTTTTGATAACGTGATATTGCGTTCCAATCGAATACATTAAAACACTCTCTAATAAATTCTTCAAATAATTTTTGACTATGTGATATCAATGTCCAATCAAGTTTATCTTAAAATTCTCTTATGAATTTTTCTGATAATTCTTTATTAGCAGAAACGTGAAACCAATCATCAATTGCACTGTGTTATTTCTCATATTTTTCTATTTTTTTCTTCAACAGTTAAATAAGAGTTATCATCTGAGTCACTTGAGTCAAAGTTTTCATGCTTACAGTTAATTATATTTATAATTAATCGGAAAATCTCACAAACGGCATTTCAAATTTTACAGTTGTACAGTTGTTTTACAAAACTTGCAAAAAAATTAAATACAAAATAACAATAATTAAAACTATACAACGGTAAAAATTCTTTTTTACAAAAAAAAAAAAAACTGCAATTGTTTCAATGTATTTTAAAGCTTCTGATGGATGTAAACAATTGCATTTATTAGTCCAAGATTAACACTTAACTGTAGGGCCATTTTTGAGACACAAAGTTAAAGCCGATTTGAACACGCGCAAAATTCATTACAAAGGCCGTTGGTGAGCTAAACTTGCAATTAACAATTGTCAGGAAGATTACTTTAGGCCGGCGGCAATTTTAACAACTCACTACTTTAATAATTTTGAAAGTACTCAACCACTTTGAAATAATCCTGTCAGGACAGCTGGTGCCAAGGTGTCGAGGTCAGGTCATCATTTAATGATAAGGCAACGCCTGTAAAAATAAAATGGGGATGTGAGTAATCCAGTCCATCGGAGTGAGAGGTCCACAATCATAATTCGTGAATAGTTAAATACAACAGTGATTAAGCCAAACGAATTATGCACATTTATCAACAATAAAAGATGTTCTTCGAATAGAATCAGTTGAGCTCTGTCCAAGGGGTTTAAAAGGTTAACCGTCGCGGTCCTAGTCAATTAGGACTCCAGAAGCATAGAGAAAACCAGGTGAAAGGGTTAACCCTTTGCTCATAGGCAACGCTGCCTTGTCATCCACCACTTGTCTTAGGCTGTGCAATGAGTACCCCGGTAATATCCGTCCAGCGTCTACTTCGAGACCCGAAAGTCATTCAACACCAAGCGTGCAATGGATATTATGTTCATGGTACTCGCCTATGACCAACATAAAAAGGGGGCGGTTCCGGGCAGTGCAATGAACACCTTTTTGGCTAACCTGCTCAGCCGCTAATCAAACATAGCTCTGAGCGTGCAATGGAAGCCCTCTTCATAGTGCAGGTGGTGAACAAGTCCCTATAAACCTCATGGCCGCAGCCGTATCAAAGGGGCGGTTCCGGGCAGTGCAATGAACACCTTTTTGGCCAACCTYCTCAACTGCTAATCACACATAGCCCTGAGCGTGCAATGGAGGCCCTCTTCATAGTGCAGGTGGTGAACAAGTCCCTATAAACCTCATGGCCGAAGCCGTATCCAAGGGGCGGTTCCTATAAACCTCATGGCCGAAGCCGTATCCCGGACCACGAGCAAGTGCAATGACCACCTTTCAGCGCCCTCCCCACGACTTATTCTGCAACCTAGACCTGGGGGTGCAATGAGCGCAGCTACCGGTGATCTCCCGTGTCCACAAACAAACATAAACCAGACCTGGAGGCCTCACGACGCCGCGATCCTCCAGCGTCCCCTGTTGGGTTAATCTCGGCGTGCAATGGGCATTTAAGTACGCCGCCCCGCCTCAAGCTTAACCTTGGATTAATAAGGGATAGACAGACTAACATAGTTTAGCTCGACATGTCGAGGTTCAACTCAATAATATTCATCAATTATCATTTCTCAATTCAAATATCAATCTCATCAAATATTATCAACTTCAATATCTTCCAATTAAATACCATCAACTGATTTATAGCGCATCAAATCAACTACAGTTTGATACTCTACTCAATACTCACATAGGTTTCTGATGAATGTTTTCAACAATGATAAATATCAACATCACAGCGATTAAATTAATTATTAAACGACTCACCCTACCGTTGATATGGCAAATATCATAAATCTCTACCTCTTATTGGATTGGAAAACATCACACACCAATAGGACCAAGATTACTCAGTGATAACTCACTCACACCAATGGAACCCAGATTACTCAGTGACAAACTCACTCACACCAATGGAACCCAGATTACTCAGTGACAAACTCACCTTTGAATAATAATTTGTAATAAACACTCACACTCGAACTCAAACTACCCCGATGAAGTGTGGGTTAAAACTAATTCTAACTCGACGATTTTTAGAGAATTGGTTCTCACAGTCTTAAAGACATCTGGTTTCGATCATCGACCACTCGGGGGTGGCTTGACTTGACCCTCGTAGATATTCCAAGTTTTATGGGTTTTCTTAGAAAAACTCTCGAGGTCTGTTTATAAAAACGTATTTAGTTAATTACTCGAGATTAGAAAACGATGTAAGTATCAGAAATAATATTGCAATTCACTAAAGAAAAGTGAGAAAAAAAAAATAAAAATTACGGTGGAAAACCTTGTCTTACATAACTGATTTTTTTTTTCATCAAATAGCAAAACCCATTAATTATTATTGATTAATCAAAGAATGCAAATTTAACCAATTTATACTCGACCTTGATGTACAGTTAGACACTTTTTACCGATAAATGTCTTGTAAATAGGTATAATAATTAACAATAAATTCTTTTATTTTTACTTCACTATCTAAAAATAAACATTAAAACGCTTTCATAATATTCTATAACTACTACATTTTTCACCAGTTTATACTATGTAGGTAATTATGTAGTTTGTAAATTAAAAAAAGTTTTTGAGTGACTTAAAAAATTGCGATAAATTAATTTAAGTATATTAAAGTTAAAATCATACAAGTTTTGTCAAACGAAACACTCGAGTGCGTACTGCTTATCACTTTAATATTTACTTAACTTATCAAAAGTTGCAATAACAATCATTCATCACATGAAACAGTCACCAGCGATAACCTTGTAGCTCAAAAACTCCAAAACAAATCCATCCAAAATGGACAAACCAAAATTAGACAGTGGTAAGCACTCCTTGTTTTGTTTCTTTAAACAACTAATTGTGTTTTTACAGGTAGAAAAACTAGTATAATTATTTTATCAGTGACAGTCACTTTTATCTTGGCTATCGTAATAACGGGTGTCTGCGTCAGATTTCTGTTGGAAGGAAAAGTTCAACAAGTAATTTTGATTATTTTGATTTGTACTTTGATCACCGTGGGTATGACGAGTTTGATTGTTTTGGAAGTACGAAGAAGGAGGGTTCGTAGAATAAAAAAGGCAAAAAGGGCAAATTACATATCAGCACCAACGGCACCACCGATGGTTGATTCCTCAACGTGGAAATATTCAAAAAACTACAGTCAGAGGACGACTGTGCAAGCATAACTGATACAAATTGAACAATTTGGAGTATTGTGGATTTTAATTTATTTAAAATTGGAGTAAATGTGAATGATTGGTGTGCTATTTTTTGTAAAGTGATTTATAGTCCATAAAGTGTAAGAAGATGGATGCTCCGCCTATTTTGAATTGTTTGCAACTAACGGCCAGCAGTATCAGATTAAAAGTTACACTGAACAATTTTTTTCCGTGATTTCAGGTAACAAATTCGCAGCCTCTGCGGTGCATGCTTTACATTGTTTTATTCTGAAATACTTATTTTAAATTAGGTAAAAACCACTAAATTTAAATTTAAACTTTAATTAAATTTCAACTTATCACTTTTAAAATGTAGTAAAAAAGATTACAGTTTTTCACTGGTACCACGTAAGGGCGGGGCATTAATCAAGTTTTAACGACTATAACAGTAAATAATATAGAAGTACAAAAGTAAAATCTAATCTTATTTATTGTAGTTCGAAGAAGTTAATTTGATACAAATTATTTATACTTTCTGATTGCTAATATATGTAGTATGTTTTAGTCCCTGTTTGTATATTAGAAAGTAAATGATAAAGGATGTTCTGTTTTTTTATGTTACAGATTAAAACTGGTGTTAGCAAATTCAAATTTAAGATAAAAATCTTTTATCAACATGTATCGAAAAATAGTACCTAAGAGAACTACACGTGCGTTTTTCAAAAAGTTTATGGAATATTTCAGAAGCCATTTTAGATAAAATACAAAATTTGGTACAACTGTTAACCTTAAACAAATTTCAATATCAATCGTGGAAATTTTTAATCAGATCCTTCCTAATATGGACAGGTACGTTATATGGTAAAAAGAGAAATTTTACTTACAAACCAGTAGGTAAGATATACACAATAAAAACTAAAACATATTAAAAATAATAAAAAATAATAATAAAAAATAAATAAAATAAAAAGTTGAAATTATAAATAAAATTATATATACAAAGTCTATTTACATCTATTTACAATAATACTTGGTCATCTGACCATTTGTATCAATAGTTTCTTGCATCCTTCTTGGCATTGATTGCACGTTGACAAGTATCTTGACCTCTTAATCTAGCCCACATACGAATTGCATGGTTATGGAGACCACCATCCACTGTTCTAATATTGATGGTTTTCCCTACACCTCCCCATTGGCGAACCATAATACTCCATGGATTTTCTATAGGGATGAGGTCCGGAGACTTGGCTGGCCATCTTAGAACAGTAATCGATCAATGCTCCAAAAACCAATCTGACACAATTCTAGCTGTGTGTATTGAGCTATTATCTTGTATGAAAATAACATTTACTCCTTCGCAAGAACGCATTTTCTAGTATATCTATATACTGTCTACTGTTTAGCCTTTCCGGAATTCTTAAGAACTCACCCGGCCCATCCGACGTCATCCAGCCCCCGTACGCACAAGAAATTCTACAACTTCTCTTCTGTTCCGTCTCCACAGAGGTTTTAACTTCAAACTATCTTCGGTTAAACAAAAAACCTTTTCATTTGTGATTCATCTATGAAGTTGGTCAAATTTTTCTTAGAAATGTCAACAATGTGCCCCTAGGCCATCCGTTTCCATTCAGTAAAAATTTGTCATTTAGTGGTCAAAGGTATAAATTGGTAAAGTTCGAAATTTACCATATATTATACGATCCGATAATAACCACCCCAAATTAAATTCGCAATTAATTTCACGTTTGACAATAATGCAAAGTAAAGAACAATGTAATTCGAATTACGTTATTTCTGAATTAAAAGACGGAAAAAACACTGCGGACACGGCTAAACTCGATTTTTGTGAAAAATGTCACCAAAATCACATGAAATCCTTTATTGTTGATAAATAGTAAACAACCCTTAACTTCTACATTAATTAACAAAATTATTATTAAATAATAGTACAGTGAAAGCTCTCTTCACAGTCAGCTCTAATAAGCGGACATCTCTGATAACCGGACAATTTTTGTGGAACCAAATTTTTAGATATCAATTCCTATATGTTAAATACGTTCTTAAAAGCCAACGCTCTGTCGGACGGATGCGGACACAACCATTTTCCCCAACAAACTCAAAACTCTCTCATGAACGGACACGAAGCTCAGCAAACGGATGCAAATATTTTTTTCTGAGTAAAATTGATTCCGAGAATTCCCCTTTGTAGCTTGTTGTGTCTCTAAAACGATATTTTATACGCAGTATATTATAAGTAGTCGGGTTAGTTATGTAGCAATGGCACCCAGCAAGAAGACCTTTATTACGTTAAGGCAGAAAATAGACGTGATTAATGTTGCCGAGCGGGAACATTTAAGTGTTCGCAAATTAGGTGAACGGTAGGTTATTATTTTAGCGTTTGTATTTCAAAAAACTATAAGTTTTATTACAACTTCTTCAGCTTTACTGTAAGCAAAACACAAGCCGCACAAATTATGAAACAAAAAGATAACATTCGTAGACGATGGCAATCTGGTGAAAATTTGGACCAAAAAACAACAAAACTGAGAAATGAACCAGCACAGATTGACAAGATTTGTTTTGAGTGGTTTGCTCGTGCTAGAAGCCAACACATTCCCATATCAGGGCCGCTAATAAAAGTCAAAGCAGAAGAAGTAGCTAGCAACTTAAAATATGATAAGTTTAGCGCATCCGATGAATGGCTACACAAATGAAGGAGAAGGCATAATATGAGTTTCAAGTGTATCTCAGGTGTGTCAAAGTTACCAGCACTGCCACTTGGATACAAAAAAGAGGACATCCATAATGCTGATGAAAGTGGCTTGTATTTCAGAGCTTTACCAGACAAAACCCTGACATTAAAAGCCGAAAATGTGTAGGAGGCAAAATGACAAAAAAAAAGACTGACCATTTTGTTTTGTACCAATATGGCTGGCGAAAAGGAAAAATTTTTGGTTATCGGAAAAGCAGCTCGACCACAGGCATTAAAAAATGTTGCACTTAACGATTCGCCCGCAAGGTGGACTTCCAACAAAAAAGCTTGGATTACAAGAATTATAATGACTGACTGGCTTCTTGACTTTGATAAAAGGATGAGATTACAAAAACGAAAAATCTTTTTCTAGCTAATGCTAGATTACGCCCTAGGAAACTAAACTTGACAAATATTAAAATAATTTTTCTACCTCCAAACACAACATCTGTATGTAAGCCTTTGGATCAGGGCATATTCAAAATTTTAAATTTTTTACCGTGGTCAAATTTTAAAACATATTCTTTCAAAAATAAATGATGTTTCGTCGGCCTCAAAACTGTCAAAATCCATTAATATTCTGGAAACTCTCTATTTTATTAAAATGACGTAGAAGAAGGTGACTCCAAAAACTATTCAAAACTGTTTTGCAAAAGCAGGTTTTAAAAAATCTTAAGCTCAAGATGTTGACATGGAATGCAGAAGACGATCTGCCTTTAGCAACTTAAGCAGAGTTTTGGAGAAACCTGCAAGAAGTTGACAAATCTGAAAATTATGATATCGTTATTAATTTGGATGAAAAGTTGTTAACTGACGAGCCTTATGAAAATAAAATAACTAAGCAGATGAGCGAAAATGATGCAACAGAAGAGATGGTTACGCAAGAGAGTAGTGATGAAAAAGAAGAAAATTCTGGTTCCATAACTTCCTACGAAAACGCTTTGAAAATTATTGAAAACCTCACAAAGAGATTTTTTTGTCTTCGAACAGTTAAAAAATATTGAATCTCATTTCCAAAATTGTTTTCTACAAGAAAAATCTAAAAAAAATTAAGCAGATTTTAGATTTTTTTACAAAATAAGCTTTTGGTTGTCCAAGTTTTTGGCATGTCTTTATTTTATATTCAAAGCTTTCTGTTTTATTAGATGTAGTTTTTGAAGCACCTACTACATACGAAATTATGTTTATTCAATCAAAAAATAATAAAGCACATTTGGGAAATTTGGTGTTTATGTATATACTTATGATTTTAATGATTTTTTATTTGAGAGCTTTCACTGTATATTAAGTATTAAGAACGGTAAGAACATTTTCCATTTTATTGCTGCGATCGGTAGTCCTTAACGTTCGTGATGCTTATAACGTTTTTTGCACGTTAGAAACATTTTTACCTTGATCTGAATAAATTATTTGAATAAAAATGTCAATTGTGTCATTTCATTTTTACTTAATGTGTCGCCACGGTGTTTCACGAATTGTTATAAATTGAACGAATTATTGTTAACAATAGTTGAAGTTGGTGTTGCCTAGACGAAAGTTTGTTGATAGTTTGCAAAAAACTCTTTTAAAAAAATGCTTAGAACATTTCATGAGTTTTCTCAAGAAAAATGTGTGATTCAGACTCCGATGGTGTAGACAGTAAAATCGAACAAGCTTGGGACATTGGTTGTTCACTACTGATTCCTGAAAAATGAAGAATTCGATATGAAAATGCCTATAAAATTTTTAAAAGCTGATGTGAGGAAAAGAGTTGTGAAAATAGTGAAAAAATTACTGAAATAAAACTATTGAAGACGCCGGAGGATTTACATTGAATTCAGCAACAGTTTCTGTAGCGCTAACACCAAAGAAACCAGCGGAATTACAATTAGTAATTGTAGTGGTTGTACTGTGTCGGGTATTTGAGTATTTAAAACCTTTTAAACCTACCTTTGTTTTGGTCGAGCGGTGACCCACCAAACAGAGCGATTAAATTTCTTTGAACGTAGGAGCCTCAGCCAACTTGTGAGGTCAATCAATTTCAGGAGAGTAAAGTGCAGTCAATTAAAATGCCGTTAATTAAAAACTAATATATTTGCGATAATATAAAATGATTAACATAATATAATAGAGGAAACAAAAAATAAATAAAGGTTAAGTGAACAAGATTATTAAAACTATTGTCGAAACCCTGAATGATCTACTTAGGCACTAATACATTATTAAACATTTTAATGAAAATTTTTAAAAACAAAAAAAGTATTAGCATTTCATCTTACAGAACATTCATTAATAAAAAGAATGATGTAATTAAATTAGTAATTTCTTACAAAGTGCTGTCGGAAAATTCGCGGTATAAAAACCGCCAACGTGGCATGACGTCAGGGACGCCATGGTATAGTTTGTAAGGTGTATCCCTCAAGATACCCCCAATCCGTTTAAGGTTCTTATTAATTTGTATTCAAGCATGTGAATTAGTGTTTTCTAAACTTGTATTAACAATTATTTTCGAGATTTGTAATGGGGGGACTCGTCGAGGCGAGTCTTTGTTTTGTTTTAGACGTGTTGGTAAAACACATTTTAAAATCCAAAACAAATCATATTTTTCCACCCTGATGTATTGTTGGTTGTATACCTCAATTTGTTCTTCCTTAAGGCTCTAGGGTACCGAATGAACTGTTCAGATTTGGTGTACTGTAAGTTGCATACTCTATTTGGTCTGGTCCCTTTAGTCATAAAATGGAAATAAAGTAAACAAACAGAATTTCACCATCGATGAGTTTCTCTTATTTCAGAGATTCAGATTCTAGCTCAGTAGAAWSAAAAGTTCATTTTTCTCTTGATTTTGGACTTTGGAATAATTTTTTGACAATAATGTCACTTTGACAAATGAGTTTTCGCAAGTTAAATAAAAAAAAGTATGGGAAAAACATAATTTTGATAAATAGCAACTCAAAGAAATAGCTTTAAGATAAAAAACAAAGTCATTTTTAACAAAAACTATCATTATTTATTAATAAATTTTTAAAAAAATGTATCTTTCATTTTACGCCAAAACTGCAAAGGAGAAACATTTTTCCCTTCACCTGAAACGAGCAAAATCAAGAGAAAAATGACTTTTTTTTTGGTTCATTATTAGTCATTCTGCTCAGATAAACCAGGTGCTTATACCAACCCAGTTCCAGAAAATTTTGAAAAACAAGGTTTAGTGGTGGGTTTTGCTAAATTTTAGGGTGGTGGTAGGGACTTATATATTGAAAACGTACAATTTTATAACTTGTTTACTTTTTGACTCTTTGCAGTTTGCTAGTGGCTCTCTTCCACTGCAGTGCTTTGAAATTTTTTTATCACTTGTTGTTGAAAACGTTGTATTGAAATTATGAGTAATAATTCTAAACAATTTCTTTCAAAAAAAAAAGAAAAATTCGAAAATAATGTGTAATTATTGGGAAAAACAACGAAAAGGTTCTAAAACTGATCTTCCAAGTAAATCAAGTCTTGCAGAATGTAGTTTTCAGTCAATTGAATCGAGTTCCGATGACGATGAAGTGTTTATTATTGACAAAGAAACTAGTCAAGAACAAAATTTTGTTCCAAGTGGTCGAAGGATTGTTGACATAGGGCATTTATTTTTGGAATTAAAAAACATAAAACATAACATTTTTTCTTGTAGTTTTTTGAACATTAACATCATTCTAGAAACACATTTGTGGTTTAAAAGTGTTTTTAAATACAAATGTAGTATTCTTGCGCAACAATTACTTGAAATTTAGAACAGCAATTGTTGCAGCTATAAAATACAGAAAAAACGAAAGCTGTACAATTCATCAAAAAACAGAAAACTTAAAAATGATATTTTAAATGGACCCGCACATATTTTTGGTGATCATTCAAATTGCGCTTCGTATTTCTGTAAAACAGTTGGTCAAATAATAAATGCAGTTGCATATTCTGATTTTTTAAATAGTTCTTTGTTTGAATTGTTCATGCAGGCATTAAAAAGAGTTGCAAATTTATCTTCAAGTCTTTTGTACGATGTCGATAATAATTCCACAGAAAATAAAAGAAAAATTCGTATTCAAAGTGCAGATTCCGATTATGGTGCGACTGATGGATGACATAATAGATATGCCAATGGAAACATATGAAAAAATAAAAAGTGAGTTTTTGAATGATTTGGCTGCTTGCAATATTTTAAAAATCCCTATTGAAACAATTGGTCAACATAATAATGAGCAATGGGATAAAGAAAGAAATAACAGATTAACAGCTAGTAATTTTGGAAGAATTATAAATATGAAATGTAAAACCAATACAGCAAATACTGTAAAAAATATCTTATATGGTGTAGGTGTGTCTAAATTTATAAAATTGCCTGAACCTCTACAATGGGGTATTGATAATGAAGAAAAAGCAAAGGAAAAGTTTGAGCAAATCACAGGTTTCAAGGTGGACTCATGCGGCTTTTTTGTTGATGAAGAAAAAACATTTTTAGGTGCAACACCAGATGGATTAGTCGGTTAAAATGCTATTGTTGATATTAAAACTGCCATAGAACGAAATAATACACATAACACAATAACGATAAACATAATATGTGTCTCACCACAAATACCTAGAATCGTTTTTAACACAAAATTAATTTGGCTAATTAGAGCTGTCCGTAAAGACCAACTCATATAATAATCCCTAAGCAAAAACCGTCCTCAGTAAAATTAATATAAATATTATATTTTAATTTTTTATTTTTTAGGTTTACGTATTGGTCTTAGTGCCTTTATATTAAACCTATCTATTTTTTTAATTTAATTTTAAATAGATGAATAATAAAAAAATTGAAGTTTTGAAATGAACTAACAATTCTCTTATTGAGGGGTGCAAATGCATATCTTTGCTTTGAACAAACGCAATAAAACGATCATGTTGCCTGCGGTGCGGCCCGGCCTGTCATAAATTTTGCTCCAGGTACAGAAGATCGTGTATTATTGGTTGCCTGTTTTCAATTTAATTTTTGCTTTATAACGAAGAATCAAGAACAGTTATCAAATTCGCATTATATCAGGGCACTGTATTTTTAAATTACCTATAAACTGTTTTTTTTTTAATTCAATACGGTATACAGTTATCAAAAAATCTTAATAATTAAAATTTTCACATTTTATTCAATAAAAAAATATCTATTAACTTATTTAAAGCGGGAATATTTCCCTGGTCTCCATTTACCTTTAATGAAACACTACAAACTCTTCAAGTCTAAATTTGCGGCTAAAAACAATGAAATAAATTTACATGTAATAGGTATACGCCAGCTTTCAGGGGGTCTGGAGCCTTAAGTGCAACACGCACTGCCTCTTCAAAATCATACGGATCAGCGGATAAGACTCGCTGCTATAGCGACATTAAAAGTCCGTCCATTAAATGTCCCAAACAGTCATGACGTAATTTCGCGCGAGCCCATAAGTTCCATTGTTCGTCGTTTGATTCGGCGCTCCTAACATTTGCAATCGTTCAGCATATTCGGTGACGCTTTTCCCGACTCGTTGTCGGTGGAGTTTCTATTTTGCAGAACTTCTAATACCTAATTTGCAAACCAGGACTTTAAAATGTTCGGACTAACTTGAAATTCAACACAGATAACTTACTTAGTCACAGCTATCACTTGGTATAAATTTCAACCCCTAAAAGCAACCCTTAAAAACACCCCTTATTTTAACCTTGCAGACCAGGGCTTTAAAGTGATCCGACCGATTTGAAATTGAACATGCATGAACTAAGGGAAATTTGGGTAATATGGCACATGCGAATAAAACGGCACATTATTCTTATTTGAACTACGCGCAATTTCAACGTTCAACTTTGCATTTTTAATAATAGATGACGCCCTTTGGAGGATTTACAATTGGCGCCTGACATCAGTGTTGCCAAATCTACCGCTAAAGCGGTATTTCTACCGTTTCCAGATTTAATCTACCGTCCTCCAGTTTTAACATGTTAAACTACCGCTTTTTTACATTTAATTCTCACCGTGAAAAATATATCTTTTTTCTTATTAAATAATT